TAGCAGCAGTTCACATATCTAGAGCCCAAAGAGAATTACTAAGAAGAGCTAAGAACAAAGACCTGATGAAGTGGATGACCCTTGAAGAATGAAGAGAACCAAAGATGCATGAACTGGTACAACATGTGATCCTCAGCCTATATGATCTGAGACCAGAAGAACTAGATGGTGCCCAGCTACCACTGTCAAACACTCAGAGGGGGATTGGTAGAGGAGATTCTAGACAGAGTGGGAGAACAATACAGTACAAAACTCAAAATCATTAAAAAAAAAAAAAAAAAGTTTGCTGGTCTGATAGAAACTGGTGAGACCCCTGACACTATTCGCCCTAGTTACCCTTCAGGTCTGGACCTGAACTTACTCCTGTGGCTTCTAGCCAAATAATAGAGAGGTATATGGGGTGAACATTTACATCAGGTAGATACACTTCTTGGAGCGATCAATTATGGGAGAACAGAAGGGCAGTGTTTAAACAGGGAGAGAGCTAGAGGGACAGGAGGGCATGGGAGGGAAGGACACAGGGAAGAAGTAACTATGGGGAGGAAGAGGGAGGAGAGCTGTTACATTGTGGGGAATTGCAGTCAATGTCATGAGACAAAATGTGTATGAACTACTGTATGGAAAATGAATTTGCTCTATAAACTTTCACCCAAAGCACAATAAAAATTTTTTTTAAAAAATTACAAAAACAGGAAAAAAGGGATATATTAAAAGCATGATCCAAACAGTTAAAAAAGAAAGAAAGAAATGGATGGTCTTTGAAAACATTATGCTAAGTGAAGTAAGTCAATCACAAAAGGACAATATTCTATGACCTCATTTATTTGAAATATTGCATAGACGAGGCAAGTGTATAGAGACCAAAGTTTATTACTGGTTAGCAGGAACACTAATGGTGCAAAGGTTAAGTGCTTGGCTCCTTACTAAAAGGTTAATGGTCCAAATCCACTCAACAGCTCCACGAGAGAAAGACCTGGCAATCTGCTCCCATGAAAATTATAGCTTAGAAAACTTAATACAACAGTTTTACTCTATCACATGTGGTAGCTATGAGATGAAATTGACTAGAAGGTACCTAACAATAACAATGAAGGCTGGTCGGAGGGACTAAGACAGAGCTCTTGTGCTTAGGAAGCATTAAGCATTTACTAATAACCAAAAAACAAACTCACTGCCACCAAGTCAATTCCGACTCACAGAAGCCCCCTCTGGGTTTTCAAGGCAGTAAACCTTTATGGAAGTAGATTGCCCAGTCTTCCTTCTGCAGAGTGGCTGGTGGGTTTGAACCAACCTTCTGGTTAGCAGTCAAATGCCTTAGGCATTATACCACCAGAGCTCCTTTGAGCATTTCTTAATGGTAGGAGCAAACCTGGCAATGGATACTGGTGATGGTTGCATAATGTAACTAAAGTAATTGGTGTCACTGAAGTATACATGTAAAATGTTGAACATAATGAGAAAAAAGAAAAGAATTTGAAAATAATACAGTAAAAATAAAATGTTTCTCTCCTGACCACTCTCTGTTGTTCAGGCTTAATTTTCTAAAGAATTCTCCCTATTGAAGAAGGCAATGGAATTCTTTTCATCTGTGTTAGCTGTAGCCCATGGTTTTTCTTGAAGTGTAAATAGCCAAAAGGGGGACATAGAAGATGGGAGGGAGGGTAGTAAAAGCTGGAGGGAGAGTATCTTCTACGCCAAGGTACATGCCAGGTGGAGAGGTAGAAACGCTGCCATGGAGGTCAGAAACATAGGCTTGACTACCAGCTCTGCTCCTGCTTGCCTCCTCTGTGCATCTCTGATTCTTCCTTAGCAAAAGGGGGCTCTGTGACCAGATATTCCCTAAGATACTTTCTCAAAAGGGAAGAACACACTCAGCATTTCTCAATCTGAAAGAAGTGAAGAAACAATTCAAGCCTCGAGTTGAAATACTGAAAGATTCTATGGACAATATATTGAATGATGCAGGAAACATCAAAAGAAAATGGAAGGAATTGGTTCATGTTCATCCATTTCAGGAGGTGGCATATGATCAAGAACCAATGGTATTGAAGGAAGAAGTTGAAGCTGCACTGAGGAAAGTGGCAAAAAACAAGACTTCAGGAATTGATAGGATACCCAATGAGATGTTTCAACAAATGGATGTTGCACTGGAGGCATTCATGCGGCTATGCCAAGAGATTTGGAAGACAACTACCTGGCCAACTGACTGGAAAAGATCTATATTTGTACCCATTCCAAAGAAAGGTGATCCCACAGAATGTGGAAATTATCACACAACATCATTAATACCACACACAAGTAAAATCTTACTGAAGATAATTCAAAAATGGTTACAGCAGTATATTGACAAAGAACTTCCAGAAATGCAAGCTAGATTCAGAAGAGGACATGGAATAAGGGATATCCTTGCTGATGTCAGATGGATCTTGGCTCAAAGCAAAATATACTAGAAAAATGTTTATTTGTGTTTTATTGACTATGCAAAAGCATGGATCATAACATATTATGGATAACATTGAAAAGAATGGAAATTCCAGAACACTAGATTGTGCTCATGAGGAACATGTACATAGACCAGGAGACTGCTGTTTGAACAGAACAAGGGGACACTGCATCATTTAAAATCAAGAAGGTAGTGCATTAGGGTTGTAACCTTTCACTATACTTATTCAATCAGTATGCTGAACAAATTATCTGACAAATTGGACGATATGAACAAGAACATGGCATCAGGATTGGAGAAAGACTCATTACCAACCTACATTATGCAAATGACACAACTTTGCTCATTCAAAGTGAGGATGACTTGAAACACTTACTGATGAAGATTCAACATTACAGTCTGCAATATGGATTACACATCAATATAAAGAAAACAAAAATCCTCACAATGGGACAAATAAGCAGCATCAAGATAAATGGAGAAAAGACTGAAGTTGTCAAAGATTTCATATTACTTGATTCTACAATCAACACCAATGGAAGCAGCAGTGAAGATATCAGACATTGTATAGCATTGGGCAAATCTGCTACAAAGGACCTGTTTTAAGTGCTGAGGAGCAAGGATGTTTCCTAGAAGACTAAGGTGCCCTTGATGCAAGCCATGGTATTTTTTTTTTCTTTTTTTTTTTTATTATTAGGATTTGGGTGAAGATTTACAGAGTAAATTCACTTTTCATACAGCAGTTCACATATACTTTGTCTTATGTCATTGACCAAA